CAGCTTGGGGAAGCATCGTGGACCTCCTCGCTGGAGATGGCGCCCCTGATGGTGGTGGTGCCGCTTCCCCTTTCCCCGACTCGCGACCTTTCTCCTCCTCGACCCTCGAACCTCGACAGTCTGTCCTTGAGCTCGATCCTCGATCTTCTCCTCCTCTCCTTCTCGATCCTTCTCCTCCTCGACCCTCGAACCTCGACCCTGCAGCTTGCCCCCCCCCCCCCGGCCGCTGCCCCCGAGAGCTCCGTGCAGGAGGAGGAGGTAGGAGGGAGGAGGAGGAGGTAGGAGGAGGAGGAGGAGGAAAGGTGGTAGGAGGAGAGGAGGAGGAGGAGGCGGAGGAGGATGAGGGAGGAGGATGAGGATGAGGAGAAGAGGGAGGAGGAAGAGAAGGGTAAGGCGGGGGTATGGGGAGGGGGAGGGGGAGGGGAGGGGGAGGGCGGGGAGGTCGGAGTAGGAGGATGATGGTAAGGAGGGAGAGGAAGAAAATGCGGAGGAGGATAGAATGGGAAGGAGTGAGGAGAGGCGAGGAGGAAGGAGGAGGAGGAGTGAGTGAGACCAGTCGCGAAGCGAATCCCGAAACTACGAACCCCGACGAGCGAGCTCGGCCCGACTCAGGACCTTGGGCCATTGCCCTCTGTGGATCCTGGCTAAATACTCAGCTCGGTTGGAGTTCGGGGTCCTGGGGCAGGGCTGCCCAAGACCTCTGATCACCTGACTGGCAAAATACCCGCAGCTGGAACAAAACCAAAGCTTAAGGGCACTATGCAGACGCATCATGTGTGTTTCATACACCCACCCACCCGCTAAATGCAGCTGAACCCCCGACGGCACCCCGAAAACTTCCCCGTTAATAAACGTTGGCTGGAAGCACGGTGTGTCTCTCCAGAGGGCTTGACGAGGAATCGTGGCAGAGCTGCAGCACACAAGACATCGTCGCCCGCACTCTGCGAGGCGATGGGTGGTGGAAAACACTTGCACAACAGAAGGAGCAGGAGGAGGGACGGGAGGGGACTCATTCTTTTCCCTGGGGCCATGCCCCCGCAACTCTTTCTCCTTTTCGAGCGTGTCGATGGTGGCTCGCAGGAGGCGTAGTCGGACCTGAAACGCCTTCTTTTCCCATGTCGCAGCTCGATGCACATCATTGACTGAAATCTGACTTTTTTTCCGCAGCGGCACCAGCTAGCTCGTCGACAATCGTGTTGCCGATTATCATCCACAAAGGGAACTTCCTGATGCCTGCAGCCTCCAGATGTGAGTTGACGAATAACACCACAAATGAAGCTGGATCTCTGTGCCTGAAGATCGCACCTACTCGGTGCCAAAGGTCAGCGTCGGGGCCCACGGGGCGAAGATACTTTTTCTCGGCCCAGCCGGACGCAACATACTGATTGTCGGTGGTGAAAACAACAAATCCTGCTGAGCACCCCGCAGCAAGCAGCAGCGCCCTCAGCTCGCCTCTCGGGGCCGACTGCCTGGAGCCCGTCAGGGGCCCTGTGGCAGTGGCCGACGCCTCGAGAGGGTCGAAGCTGCTGATGGCGGCGACGGCCAGGCCCACTCGGCGTAGCCTGGTGTCGCTGGAGTGCCTGCCGCCACTCGCGTCCCCGAACAGGTACAGGGGCTGCTGTTGGGTGCCCTTGCCGAGCCACAGCACGCCCCCGTCGTTGTCGGCGAAACCTGAACCTGACCAGCACTCCTCTTCTGGCGGCGGCGGCAGAGCCGCCCACTCGGCGGGTAAAAGCCCTCGTAGCCAGAAACACTCAGACGTCTGCCAGTTGGCGTAGGCTTCGGGGATGAGATCGTTCGGGTGCTCGTAGGCTGGGGCCCCCGTGTTGCATGGGCAGCCCCAGATCCGATGAAACTGATCCTCCTTCTCCTGGCCGCATCGGGGGCATGACTGGTCCAGAAAAACTCCTTTAGCTGCCGCTGCCTCGGCGCGCCGTGTGCGCGGCCACGAGGCTCCCGCAGCGATGGTCAGCAGAAGCTCCGATAGTCGGCTGCCCCGATCGAGGCTCAGCAGCTGAGCGTGGAGGCGGCGAAGAGATGTGCAGTCAATCCCGCCTTCCATGCCGCCTCCACAGAAGTGCTGCGCTGCAACCTTCCATAACTGTCGTGAAATCGAAAACTGGATGTCGCTGATCAAACGTCCTGGGTCGTCCACGTCGGGCCACCCCTCCCGCGCGTGATCAGGGAAATGCCATTCGATCGCTTCGCCGTCGGTGGTCTCCGCTGGCCTCGTCCAGTCAGTGGCCGAGACGGGATCCCACCCATGATTGAGGAGAAGACTGATGGTGGCTGAAACTGGTCCTCGCACGTGCCGTGACCGCCTCTCGGGGGGAAGCTCGCGCAACTTGGTCACGAGAGAGGACCAAACACGACGCGCGCCTGGACGGACCCACGGTTCACTCTGCCATATCTTGAACCACGTGCGAAGACATTCCTCAGGTAGCTGAAGAGCGGGGTCCATTGGTGTCCTGATAGCCAGCAGCGTCGTGAGGCAGCGGCCGCGCGACGGCGCGGCCACGGCTGCCCCCGGGCGCTGACGGTACTGCTGCATGTGGACCCCGAACACGCCATATATCTGAAATCCGTACGCGCCTGAAGCCTGGGCCCCCAGGCGTTCCAACTTGGAAGCGACCGTGTACTTGCGCCCTGCAATCGCGAACCTGCGCACCTTGGCATTCATGGCTTTGTGTTTGGCGGACCTCTTGCGGCGTATGGCCCGTGTGTGACGGCCGCCGCAGCTGGCGTCCACGCCCAGGTAACCAGAGGCGCGCTCAGCTCGCACAGGGAAGCCCGCAAGACGTAGGGCTCTGGAAACCTTGACCGCGTCGGCGTGGTGGGAGCACATCACGATGCTCTTGCTCGCCACGCGAAGCTTGACCGCCGCCAGGCCCTGGCAGGTCTCCTTCAAACTGGAAATGAGCTGGCGGCGAACCTCGTCACGTGAACCGATGGCCCGTTGAGCAAGGTCGTCCACCCATATACGGTGGCCCATTCGAGGATGGGCGAGGCAAATTCTGTCGAACACATAGTAGACCACGATGCGCCCGAACCTCGTGCCGCTGCGCAAGCCCTGGACGATCGACTGGGTGGGCTCGATCGGCAGGGCCCAGGAGTTGCTCTGCCCGAGGGTGCGCGGGGCCGCGCACTGGAGCACCTCCAAGCACAGGATGGCTGCAGGGAAACCCAGCTCCAGGCCACGCGGCACGAGAATCTCCCACAGCACATTGTCGTAGAAGCCGTCGATGTCGAGCAGCCCCATGCCTGAGGCAACGCCGAGCTGGTGCCCGACCTCAGCCTCAAGCGCGCGAATGAAGGCCTCGCGCAAGGCTGCATTGCCCCGCACGGCCGCGTCCCAGAAAGGTGCAGACGCCTCGGACCAACGCTGCACCTCTGGTTCGCGCACGAGGCTCCAAAGCCTGCAGCACATTGATAATAATCCAATGAGTCTGTCTCCGTCCGTTTTCTTGGGGAGGAGTCTCCCCAAGGTCATCATGACCTGGTGGGGCCATGCAATCTGAGATTCGATGGTCATGTAAAGAAAGGCCAGTTCATCCAGCGCCGCCAGCGGAAGGCGCTCAAAATCCACTGGCGACATGCGGTCGATGCCCTGCCCTGTGCCAGCACGCACCGACCGCGCCGCGCGCCGAATGTCCTCCCCCGTGATCTCAGGGAGGGGCTCCAGGTCGGCGCGCTCCCGAGCCTGACGAAAGGCCTCTCGCAAGGCCCCCATGTCTGGCCCAGTAGTAGTCCACTTGCGCCTCCAGCGTTCGGCCTTGTGGTCCACGATATCTATGGGCTGAAAGAGGATCCGCCCGTCGACCTCGAGCTCCTGCCGAAAAGCTGGCTCCTGGCGGATGCTGCGGTGCAGCGCGCCGAGAGCCGAACTCGACTCCATCCAGGTGCCGAAGTCCCGCATAGCAGCTGACAGGGCTCGCCTCTGCGCCCTGCCCGAGATCTTGAGCGATAAATCTGCATACAACTGGAGCTGATGTTGGTCCACGTCAGTCTCGTCCAACATAAGGCGAAATATCTGCTGCCACTTCCTCCATGAAGGTTCTTTAGATCGTAGAATAGTGTGAGCCTTTTCTGGGCGATCGTCCACATGTCGTCTGAGGGCGTCTAGTAAGCGACGGCGTTGGCGATGCCCATTGTCCCGTCGAAAGTGACGGACCAGCCCAGACAATATGGTATGAACACGAGTCCACCAGCCAGAGACAACATCGCTCACAGGCGTCATTCTGTGGCGTTCCTGCTGGTGGACAACATCGATACGAAACCTGGCACCATCGCGACGGCTGATGCCAGGAGAGTCCTGGAGAGTGTGATGCGAACGGATGGTGAGCTCGGCTGCGCTCACCCACGTTGCGTACAGGGAAGAGATGGCCTGAACCGAAGCAGGTTCGGTGAGCCGAAAGGCAACGGAGCGGAGGTAGGGAGGCGAGGGGGAGGAGGAGGAGGAGGAGGGGGGGGAGGAGAAGGAGGAGGAGGCGGAGGAGGAGGAGGAGGAGGAGGAGGAGAGGAGAGGAGGAGGGGGAGAGGAGGAGGAGCCTCGTGCAGGAGGAGGAGGAGGAGGAGGAGGAGGCAGGGAGTAAGGAGAGAAAGGCGAAGGAGGAGGAGGGTGGAGGGATATGATGATGATGATGATGATGATGATTGATGATGATGATGATGATGATGATGATGATGATGATGATGATGAGGAGGAGGAGGAGGAGGAGGAGGGGGAGAGGAGGAGGAGGAGAGGAGGCAGGAGGAGGAGGAGAGGAGGAGGAGGGGAGGAGGAGGGGGGGAGGAGGAGGAGGAGGAGAAGGAGAGGAGGCGGAGGAGGAGAGGGAGGGGAGGAGGAGGAGGAAGAGGAGGAGGAGGAGGAGGCGGAGGAGGAGGAGGAGGAGGCTCCCTCCCCCCTTCCATTCTCGGCCCCCCTTCCGGGAGGCCTGGAGCCGAGAGAGGGGGGCACGCGTCGCCCGCCCTGCTGGGCAGCGGAGCGGGAGCGTGGCGGCCTTCGCCGTGCCAGGCGGAGACCGCGCCTGCCGCCGGGGCGCCCTGGAGCCTCGCGGTACTCCCACACCTCGCGGCGGCCGGTGGGAGTCGAAGGAAGAGATTGAGCATCGTTTCACCGATCCCCACTGGCCGATTTACCCCCGAGATGGGACAGAGGCGGTTCCCTTCGGGCTTCGAGGGGCATATCCTCAACTGGGGTGGTGGTATGGTGGGGATCGGGATGGGGATGAGGATGGGGATCGGTCAAACGATGCTGAAAGATCAGGATCGGAGCTCCGAGAGGGCCTCCTGTCTCGGTCAGCTTCGAGGTGAGAGCGGGCAGTCTCGGAGGACAACCCTCAGAGGTGGGGATCGAGCGCGGGGCGGGGGGCGACCAGGGCTGCGCCGAAGGCTGGCGTCCCCTGCCCCGACATGCCGCCGCAGGGACGCATTGCCCAAGGCGGTGCTCAGCAGGGAACCGAGAAGAGAGCCAAGGAGGACAAGAGGGTCCAGGGACCGCGGGGTTGAGGAGAGGGCGGACGCTAGCGTTGTGAAGCAACAGCGTGACGGCTAGAGGTATAACCTTGATGGGCTGTCGCCGTAGTTGCGACCATGATGGAATCGCCCAGAGGCCGCAGCGCTGGTCAAATCCTGCTAGGGCTTCAACTAGAATGTTTTCCCAATGCAACTCTATCATTATGATATTGTTGGGACTCCCACCGGAACAACGACTACAATGAAATGGTACGCTGGCTGGAACTCGTACTGGGTCTTCACCTCTAATACACTCCTCCTGCTGCCGCAACTCCAAAATAATCCTGATAGCGCCGTCGATGACTCCACAAGAACGAGAAGTAAACTGGCCACGACCTGTATTATATCCCTGTCAGAAGTACAAGCCTGATGCAAGCACAATGAAGCTACAACTCTTGACCAACTCTCACTTGAGCGACAACCCTGATGCATTCCCACTGCAACTACAACTGTGGTAAATTTGCACAATCTAGAAAATCAAGCGGAAGACGGTACACTCAAAATACAACCACAACTCCGGTGTTGTTGTTGTGCTAGACCTACAACGGGAAACGAAGGATCCGAATGTATCCCACCAACCCTTTAGGGCGAGAGTGGTTTAGGGAGGGTCCTCTTCCACCCCCGTTCTTCCTTTTCGGGAAATGGCTTATCACTGTTCCCTGTGAGTAGACACCCCCTCCCCCAAGCGACCGGCAGGCAACCGGGACCAATGAGCCTCCCCCCACAAATATCCCTTACAACAAACAATACGACATGCACGTTGCCGCCAAATCTGGCGCAACTGCGGGCGCCCCGCGACCACTCTGCATCGGTTTTCGAGGTGGGCGGCGGGGGTGCCGGCATCTTGCTTGCTGCGCACAGGTTAGCCATCCCTGTCAACAGAAACGATACAACGACGCACTCTGGTTCCAGACCTGGAGCATGCGCAAGGCCCTCTTCTCTCTGAGCTCTCACCTGCTTCACGACTCCTCAAGATGTCACGGTTTGTCAGTCGGTGCTGGTGCTTGGCGCTCCCTGGAGGAGCCGCCCTCCTCACCGAATGCTCGGCACGTCGCCTCAGGGGGACCCTCGAGATCCGGAGCTCCTTGAAGCCAGTGCCCCAGGCGCCTGGGGTCCCTACTGGTTCCCCGTAGCTGGCGCACGTGGCGCGGCGGGAGCACGTGGCGCCGTTGGCGCACGCGGGGCATGTGCCGCACCAGGGGGTCTGGTGTTCCTGGAGCCCGTGGCGCGCGTGGCATCTGTGGCGTTCCTGAACGGTCTGCTGACACTCGGGTGTTACTCATGTTTCGGGGGGACGGCCTGCTATCTAGGAGGGTCGGCTGACCCCTCCCCTGCCCCTTACCCTTACCCCTGGACGGGGGGGTTCGCGAATCGTTGGGGCGTCCAAGACGGCCTCGGCGAAAAGACCAACACCACTGATCTACCATGGTTTTGCCAACAGCTTCGCCTCTAAGATGGGTTTCCAGGGTGCGCCCATGCGGTCCCAGAAGGCCCCAAAGAGGTCCCCAAGAGACCCCCCCAAAAGGCCTCCAGGGCCGCCAAGAGGCCCCTAGGCGCCCCAAAAGTACTCCAAGAAGATCTCGAGAGACATCCGAAGCGACTCCGAGAGGTATCCGAAAAAGCCTCTGGCCTTTCTGCTCGCTCTCCTCCTCCTCCCTCCTCGCCGGGTTCGCGGGTTCGCGGTTGAAAACAAAACTCAAAAACAATCGCGACAACCTCGTTTCCCGGATACAAAGCCCGCTCAGAAACGACGCAGCGGGTCCTGGACCCGGGCCTTTTCCCAGGACCATATGTTCGTCCTGAGCCGTTTCCATGAATCACGAACTTGCTTCTGCAACAAGATTGTCACTAAGCTTCCTCTCTGCTTACACGCCTCTGTCTGCGTCGCGGGCGGTCGTTTCTCTGGCGGGTCTGGCGGAAACTTGCTGGAAACGGCGGCAATATTATTTGTGATGTTCCGTGCCTGGTGCTCCTCAGATGTGAGGG